TACCACCGTAGTATATATAATTACATTATTATTATTTTTGTTCTCGGTTTGATAAAATTCAATTGCATTTTGTGATAGACAAACTATTTTCGTATTTATCTACTCATTTACATATGGTAATTATAAATAAATCTTTTTAACAACAAATAAGATAGCATTGTGTATATACATACGCTATCTTGAAACAACAGTAAATTCTTAATCCTTTCAAACTACCGAGAGAAGCCTTTACTAATTTAATTAAGGCATCTAGATAATTAGAAATTTTATGAACATATAACGGAATCTTACAAAATGAAAGTGTAACTTTGTAACTATTTTAAAATTACTTGGATCATTTTTTTATATTTTCAGTATTGATAGGTATCTGAACAATACCCCTTTTTCACTATCAAGTGGGTACTATTTTCAACAGTGTTTTGAACGATTTCATTATTTTGATTTTCACACTAGTGCAAGAATTTAAGTGAATGTTTGTAGTATTTGCAATTATTGTTTAATGTAATTTATTTTAAAATAAATGAAAGCATAAGGTTATTTTGAAAAAACTATTTTATGGATTATCTAGAGCAGTCTAAGAAATTTTTAATACTTATTGAGAAGAAAGGTCTCCATGAGAAAAAACTCGAGATTGCATGCGCACGATCAGAAAAAGTCTTTCAACGAAAAAATTCAGAGAACTATTAATTATTAATATCATTCTATTAATTCTGTTAATTCTGAAGCTGTTCGTATTCACCATAAATCTAGTCCCGCGGTATCAAGATTGTATCATTATATATGAGAGCACCCTTTTGTCCTTCAGAGTTTTTACTCGATTATCTGTTTTCTTTATTTTTGTTCATTTTCATTTATCAATACTGTTATCCATTCTACACGAGGTCCTCTATTAATGATGCAATATGCTCTTTGTCCTTCGTTGCTACACTCAGGCTGAAAAGTAAACATACGTGATGCGAGTAGCTTCATTTTCAACTTCTACATGTGCAACTCTTCTATTTAACTGATCTTAAAAAGTTTTTTATATCAGTCATTTATTATTCGCTTATATTTACTAAGATTTATCATGATATAATCTTTATTGAAATTACTTTATACAACCAAAAATTAATTAAACAAATATTTGATTAAAAAATATTTGATTTTATTTGAATATTTTTAAAACATTTATAAATCTAATCATCTCTTTTAAGTGATTAATTTAATAGTAATTTAGGCATTTTATGTAACTAATGAAAGATATGCATACGTATTATATATAAACTAATTGGAAATTTTCGATGAAAATAATTGATTTTTGATGACTGTGTAAACTTAATGGTAGTATCGACATCGAATCAACATAATTTATAAATAACAATATATTCTAAGAAATATAGAGACAAAATTAGAAATTTTTTTAACATAATTCAGTATATAGTGAAAAAATAAACAAGAAATAGGTAAAGATATAAAATAATAAAATAAAATATAAAAGTAGAAACATGTATAGAATTACAAAAAACGTACAAAGAGCTAAGTTATGCATACGAAAAAGGCTAGATTCTGTACGTAATTGTCTAATATCATGTCAATACTATAATCAATAATTTTTACATTATCACCATAGGATTTTTGTTTATTTGTTAATTTATCATATAATTATGATACCTAATATAGATCAATCTAATCGTTAGAACAAAAATAAAAGATTTATTATATTTAATATTTAATTTATAATAAATTATTATATATTACTATAAAGAAATATTTTGCAAAACAAATTATTTTAAGCATATAAAGACCATTAAAAATTAATCGGCGTATAAAATAATATTATAGAATTAAATATTTTGTCTAAACATCTGTAACGTTTTATGCATTCAAATATGTATTAAAGTTTTATAAATAAACAAAAACAAGATTCCACATATCTTGCCCTGAAAATTATGAATTTTTTACATCCATGCCCATACGTAAAATATTAAAATCAAACTTGTGTTTTATTATATTTATGTAGAGTTCTGTGACAAAATTTATCATCGATATTATAATTTAGATTTTTCTGAATATAGTTATTAATAATACATATACATCAAAATTTTTTATTATTATAGAATATTATTTCTTAATATATATACATTATTCGAACTAAAATTTTCAAACAATGAAAGTGTAAACCCATTTTTCGGCCTATAAACATAGTTATATGTAACAAATCTATTCATGTTCATAACATTTTATTATACAAAAATAGAATGGCAAAGATAAAATAATTATGAAATTTTCAATTATGAAATTATTCGACTATTATTCGAATATTATATTATGCAATATATATTATACAACATATTTACTATAAATAAATCCATTTTTAATAATATCTAATATTAGATAAATTATAAATTAATTTCATTATTTTTATTCAATGATAGATATATTCATATTCATACTTACATCGAAACACAATTTTTTAATTATAAAAATTAAGTTACGAAAAAAAAAATAATAAACTTAATTTTAACACAATATTGAAAATTAAGTATTTTCTTAATATAGTGTATATCATAATATTAAACTTCCATCAGGATATAGTCTGTCTATATATATATTTATAATCCATATATACAGTCCAAACAGTAATATATAATTCACTTTCATAAATGTTATGTATGTTTGTTAATATTCTGAATCACTGTTCATTTACTGCTTTATCTATAAATATGTACATATCATTTGGTTAATCTTTTTTAATTAAATTTGTTAATATTTAGAGATACTTGAATTAAAAACTCAAATTTTAAATTTCAAAATTTTGTTAACAACTAACATCACAAATTTTAGATTTGATTAAAAAATTTTCAATTATCATATTAGTACTTCAACTGCAATGAATCAGAACTAGTGAATGCTAATATTGTAATTTTAACAATTAAATTATTTCAAGATTTTGAATACATAACTTGTATATAACAATTCATTATAACGATTATACACTAACTATAATTGAATATTCTATAAACATAAATTTGAAGAGAACTGTAAATATTGCTACATGTACACATAGAAAATCAAAGAATATAGTATTGTTTTTTATATATTAAAATAATCTTTTAAAGAATTTTTGGAAATTACTTTTCACGTCGATGTTTAAAATAAAATTATATATTTATATTATATTATTATATTTATATAATGGTTATACATTCTAATTTTTATTAAATTTTGTCTAAATCTTCTATTATTGTAATCAATGCCTTTTACATAATATTTATTTGTATTTATTCTATTTATTCTATTTATTTATTGTAAATTATGTAGAAATTCATTATCATTGTTAGTAAATTTATTTAACCATATAATATTTTTAAGTTTTATATATTTGAAAAATCATGATAATATTGATAGTAATTCTGTTACTAACAATTTTTAGTAATAGTAATGATGGATAAGAATGATATTAACAATTGTAATTTTATGAAAGTTAATAATAAAAGGTTATTTTTACTGTTAATAGCTTACTTAAATTCAACAGTATTTTAACTTCTTAAACTTTTACTTGAATTATTCAATTAAAAATTTTAAATATGTATTTAAAATCAACATTTAATGTGACTCATCATCAAAAATGTTTATTAAAAAGTTGAATAAAAATTTGATATTATATTCAAATAATTGTGGCAGAAATTAGTCATAAAAGATTTTGGTTGTATATGTTATCTAAAATATGTTAACTATTGCAAAAAATTTATATTAAATTTATTTGCAAATTTGGGGATACAATATTCTAATTATTATCCGTAATGAAGATACTTACTGAAGTAAGTGAATGTTAATTTTTTCTTATTTAATAATTAATAAGAATAAAATTAAAATAATATATGTAAATATTTATATATTGAAACATTGTTAAATAATAATATTATGCAATATAATAAATTTATAATGAAATGTAGTACTTCTGTTGCATATTATAGTACAGTACACATTTACATTATTTATGTATATAGATATAGCAGTTACGCTATGTTAATTTACCAGTCACTCAAATAGTGTCAATGTGACGAAGTGTAGTTGATTAACATAAAAGTCTTTAGATTTACAAGAGTTAATCACTATAACAGTTTTTTTATTCTGGGTTTGGTGAAAGAACCAATTATAATTGGTTGGCAGCAAAAAATACAGTTATATATCATGTATTATTACTATATATTTTATATATACTAATAATGTTTATCTCATTTTGAAAATATTTAAATCTATTAAAGTATTTAAACAATTCAATTTTGATAGTTAAGCTATATGATTATTGTAAATTAATGTGCATTAGTATTTAATATTCCATTAATTGCAGAAATTATGTTCATAATACGGATATACCTATATTTTTTTTAGAACACAATAGATAATTTATTTTGTCGATATTAAAGGATTGAATACTTAATTACATATTTTCGTTTACTATAAGTACAAAATTAATTCTATAAAATATATCGTATTTATTTTAATTTTAATTAAAATTTATTAAATTTTCTACAAATTTTTTTATCTATTTAAAAAAAAAATTATTAGTTTAGTAGACTAAGAAAATATATAAAGTAAAGTATTTAAAAAAACTTCTATATTTAATCAAATATTATATATTTGGGAAAAAAGTAAAACTAGTATTTTAAACAATATTAAAATAATTTATGAAATTATTTATTATCCATTGTTATATATTATAACTATATATTATATTTATTATAAGTGTTCAGTGGACAAACTACAAAATAAAAACCTTAATGTAATATTAATTTATTTTATTAAATTTACGTCAGATAAAATAAAGTTATTGTTCTAATGTTATAATATAGAAAAAGATATAATTCATAAAATTAGTAATATTTGTGTATAAATTCTCGATAGTTTGAAAAATACCCAATCAGTATAAATATACTAAAAAATTAAAAATAATATTGCATTCATTATCAAATAGATTTTTAATATTTATTTAATTTATTTTATTTTATTGTAGTTCATCATAGTCTCGGAGGAACAAGTTAAACTGGCTAATACGTTGAGAGCAACGATATCGGGGACTGTGACGATACGGTTGACGAAATTGGGCCTCGGGCATTGTAAGGAATTTCCTTTGACAATGTTCTTATCAATGTGTTACTACCACTGACACTAAAAGTATCCCAGGGATGAATTGGCAAAAGTGTTAGACACCTATTACGGAGAGAAGACAGCTCTACGTCCCCCTGTTACAGATACCAACAGCCGCCGGCCCTCGTGACCATGGTGGAATCAGGGGCTTCCGCTGCCTTCCTCCATATACTGCTATATGCTCTGCTCTCATTACTGTTGAGCCCCGGGGATACCGAAGCCGACCAAGGTAATATATCATAATTTTATTTCTTTTTCAAGGCTTGCCTTTAAACTTACTTATGTTACCTCATATTCACCTTCAATTCTCGTGAAATATTCGCCTCTTAATTGATTAATCAAATTATACGATGCTTTTTTCAACCTTTTCGTACAACATTTCATGATTAATAATTTTACTTTTAAGAATATGTAACACAAAATAAACGAATTATGTAATTTAATTATTACAGTTTGGTTGTTGCGTCTTGGTGTTAGTTAAGATATTGAATTAATAAATATCCAAACAAATAGATGATACTATTGTAAAATTTGTACCTTAATACTTTATATCATTGGTGATTTCATAAACTTTGTCATTTATATTATGCCCCTTTGGAATTGATTGAAATTTAAAGAATCGGATTCAAGTAAAGTACCACGAATTTTAAATGTGTAATTGTTTTTAATGAAAACGTGAAAATTCATAACAAATAAAAAAGTTATTTTTTATAGTCCGTAATACCAATGTATCAACATTTCTATTTTCATTCACCCTATGCCTAAGACTTCCTACAAAGTACATCGATAAACTTTGTAAACTAATCTCGCTATTCTTATATAATACGTTCACATTTTTTATTTGCACGATATGATAATACTTCGGAATTCAAATAAATTCTCTGTGATGAGTCAGAAGCAAGATGAATACACAAATATCGTGGATGTTAAGTAACACTGTAGGTCATATGTACTTGATATGTGATATTAAATTGACGTCTTTGTTTACATTCTGTGATGCTTCATGCATGTTATAACTATTGACTACTTTTTATGATAAAAAATTCACTTTCTATAGTAAAAATAAGATTTGTACAATTTCCTATTAAATAATATAAATTAATAATGCACTTTAGACACAATTTATTTTTGAAAAAAAATAGCAATTGCTTTTTAATTTTATCACATGAATAGAGTTTTAAGGAGATAAAGTGGTTTCATGATTTTAATAAAGAAACAAAAATTTGTCAATACCACAGTAAAGTTGCATAAATACTTTATCTGTATACATACACATTAAACAGCAACTATTGCTAAGTAACTGTAAAATTTGGTTTGAACCCAAAATTTATTTGCAATAAACAGTTTACATTGTTCATTTTTATTTACAGTATTATTTATATATTTACAATACTATTATTTACAGTGATCAATAGTTACAAAAATATTTGTATTATTAATTTGGATACATTTTTTTCCCGAGTTTAAGTTATATAATTTAATTATGGTTGTTTGATATTAATTTACTAAAAACGACATACTTTCTTGCTTGATAATTGTATATTTATAGTTTATAAAGTTTATTCGAATAAATTGTATAAAAAAACTAAGTTATAGTATAACAAAAAACATTTTAACATTCAGATAATCAGTACGCTTAAATAAATGGAAATAAATAATTCCTTGAGTAAGATTCTTGTTCAATACATTCATTTATAGAATGTTATATTTTCGATTCATTTAATGCAAAAACTCTTCAGATATTTTATATTATGTAATTTTTATGAATTGATTGTACTAGAAATATTTAGAAACTATTAATTATAGTTACATAAAATTAAAAAGCAATAATCATTTTCATTTTCTAAAGTTATTAACACAAAACTCCATATTGGCAGAAAATTGAATAATCTCTTTATTTCATATTTAGACAAATAGGTATATAATATATTTAAATCATTAAAAATATGAATAAAAGATAGGCTCAATTAAAAATGGAAATATTAATTTAATCTAATCAACGAGCAATATAAATTAATTTCTAGCCTATAATATTTATGAAAGAACTTTTTCATATTATCATAATATTTCTATATTTAAGTTAACAAGTAAACTTTTATTATTAGGAAAAAAATGAATTTTTAAAAATAATTATGAGAAAAGAAATTTTTTATAACTTTAATTGGAATATCCGCATGATATTTATTTTTTAAAATATTTATTTGAAATTATTGGGATTTTAACATACTGCAAATCTTTATCTATTAACTTAAAGTGGTCAAATCCTAATAACTTAAATTACGTAAGATTTTTTTATCTATCATTATAACTTCTATGAATAATGAACTCGAACATTTTTATGAAAAACATTTTTTTATCTTCTAGAGTTATTATTAAAAACAAAAAATAATACTTAAATGGTAGTTTAAGCTATTAATAAAATATAAAATCTTTTTTATAGATAAGAATTATTACCAAATTTTTTATATAATTTCAATTATTAGGCATCAATTGACAGCGCACATCATTAAATGTTGTAAAAAAACTGAAAAATAACAAATGTTTGAAAACTACTGCTAAATTTAGAAATCAAGCGATTGTTATTTAATTCAACTACATATTAGTATATCTGCACTCAACTTTATTGAAAAATTTTTCGGATAAATCCGATCTGTTTATCTCATACTTCTCTGTATCACTTGCTTTTAATGCTTCTATGACTTTACCATGTTGCGGATAGTTACGCCATTTATTTATTTGCACTATATCTTATTATACAATGCATACAATATAACTTACAAAAAACTTTCCAATCCTCCTAAATAAGAATGTTAAATAATTACATTTTTTGCTGTTTTTATCGCATTTTTCTGTACTGTACACTATCTAAAAATCTTTTTTTCAACAGAGAAAAACACAGTAATTTGCTTTTCAAAATCTAATGGTGGTCATTGTAATACCTTTACTATCTTTGTTGAGATGTCCTTAACAATATCGTTTTAGCCTTTACTTGCAATTATAGTTCTATTGGAGTTTCGGACGTAATATAAAATATCAGTCTAAAGCCTTCATGTTCGGTCACAGATGGCGTTCTAGAAAGGGCTCATGAGTTTGGAAAACCCGACAGGGACGATGTTTGTTCGTTTTTCTCGTTTGCGCTTCAAACTGATCAGCTATATCGGCAAATGCTGCCGAGAAACAACAGATACGGCAACACTGCAAGAATGCTTGAGCGACCACCGTCGTCGACGCCACTGTGTCACATACCTTAAACCACGGCGGTCCCTGACTCAATCTAAGTTCCGCTTACCTGCGCCCGTATAAGAGCATTCCATTCTGTTGAGGCAAGGACGTACTTCTTCGTTTCTCTTAATCATAAAGTTGAATCGCCTTGGATGTCATATATATGGAACGGCATTCTTAAAGCTTAAATGTGTAAGCGTGTCATCTGTCAGGATACAACTGCCTATAAGGGATATGAATGTGAAAAAGTAAATGAGAAATTTGTCGAATGAACAAATGTAGATCAAAAATAAAGTTTTGGGTTTTTTTCTCTTATTTAATTTCACTTAATATTTTCGACTACATCTACTTTGAATTTAATGTTTAGTTAATTTTGTTTATGTGACTTAGGGAAATTACTTTATTTAAATAAGTTGAATTGCATCATCAATTTATAAATTCTGTAAATACTAATGTCTAAAATAACAAAAACCTGTAATTGAACACAAAACTAGTTCAATTTTTGCTTTTTGGACTAATTTTATTTATGTGGAATAAATAAAATCAAAGAATAAAAGTGGTAAGAGAAGTATTCAATTCAATTTAAGTTTAAGTAATTAAATTTAAACACTTTCTCTAATTTTAGAAACACTTGCTTAAACACGAATTTCACATAAATACTAATGAACATTGGTTATAGTTAAAAATGAATGCTTAATTATATAATTAAATTATATCAATTCTTTTTATATGGTTTCTTTTGGGGTGGCTTTGGGATAGCAGGTCAATCACTATGACTATAAAAATGAACAAGTGCATCGTCTGCAACGATACTATGAGATATTTTGTGGAATACTATGACGTCATACGAAATACTTTTAATAAATAATAATTGTGTATATAAGAAAATATGAATAGTTTATAAATCATCATTAAGCTGATGTTCATTTTAAAATAAAAATAGTAGTAGTAGTAACGCATGGCCCAAAACCTATAGTTGATTCTTATTAAAAAATTGGTAAATATAAATCAATGATATAAGAAAATAAGTAAATTAAAATGCAATAATCACGTAGCTTTATCAAAATGTGCTTAATATAAAAATATTCATAAATATGTAGTCAGTTCAGAAATATATAAACAGAATATATATACGCGAATTTAACAGTAATTTCTATTTCTCTTGTTATGCTCCGTACATACAACTTTTGTATTTAAATCTCCCTACATTCTCAATTTAGTTAATGAAATGATAGTTGTAGTAATCAAATTTGCATGCCACTGCAAGTAACGCTTACTTTTACTTTTCCTAATTCTAAATAAACCTGACCATACAGTGCTCTCCAATCAATAATGCAATAAAATCTAGAAATAATTTATATTGCATTAATTGTATATTTTATACATAATTATATTTCATAAATCAAATATCTTAATGGTACAAATATTTCTGTTATAATATATTTTTTTGTTTCGTATGGTATTCCATGACGTAAAGAATCTAGCAAAGATATTTTCAATCATTAACCACCATTATTTTTTTTTCATTACACAAGGAAGTAGCAACAATTCAAGAACCTTTAGAAAACCTTTAATTATTATAGAAATGCTCTGAATTGGATGTAGTTTGAAACAATAGTTTTATATAATACAAAATATTTTAATACATATTATTTTATTATAACTAATTTCTCTTTTTGTATACATTTTTATATTATCAGCATTTTAATTTATTATATTCTACATATTTGTAATAATATATTCATTTTTTAATTTACATTTGTTAATATTATAAAACATTATTATTGTTATAGAAAAATTATGTTTATACAAATTATGTTCTAATCGCAAAGTATGTTTTGTTAACACCAAATTGTTTACTAAGTTTTTTTATGTTTATCAGATTTATCAATAAACTTTACACTGCCTATTTGTAACTTTGCAAAAATATTAATAAAATAATTATGGTTTCAATCTCTTTAAGTTTGAAATCTTTTTGCTCATTTTATTGAACTTTCTAAAGCAACATTATCGACAAATTATTAGGTTGCAAGTACATTGCATTCTCGTATCGAGAGGTCAGCGGTATCTTCTGTGTAGCTCTCGCAACTTTTAACTTTATCGCGTTCGATGTGTTGATAACACGTTTTTTTCTCTGATCTTGCAATGTATGTTAATTTTAATATCTGTTTAAACTTTTAACACTGTTTAATTCTAATTAAACAGTAGTATTTCTAATATTTTATTAAAAGTATTGAAGTTATTGAAAGACTTTATAACTAAAAAATATTATGTTTAAAACCTAAGTATATCTTAGCTATACATTCTAGCCTTAATCTTCTGTTATTAAATATTATCAATAGAATGATTATTAATAAAAATATTACACTATTTAAAGAAAATAAAATATTTAATGAATAATTATTATCGTTATTCTTGCAAATATAAATTTTTATTATTTATTTATTCAAACAAACATAATAAAATTCATTGTTACAAATTTTGGAGTTTATATGCAAATAAAAATTGTTTAATGGTATGTATATTTAAATTTGAAAAAAGGGTATTGAATATTTAAATTGGGGAAGATTTATCATTTATCTTTATTTTTTATTTGTTTTATACAAAACAAAAAGGATAACACATAGATTATAAATATTTTATACATAATCATCGTTACATTAATACGTGTTATAAAAGTATACAAAGTTATAAGACGTGAAATAATTCTATTAATCAACAACGTAGACGCGTATTGGAATTTACGGCCATAATAAGCTAGAATCTGGTATATTCAATTAAATAAAAAAGGTCGATGTAATAATTAAAATGTCATCCATACACAAATGTGAAAAAGTTACCCAGAACAAATATATTTTGATAGTGTTATAAAATATTTTTGTCTGAAACTCATTTGATTCCAACTACTACACAGTGTTATCGAAGATTAAAAATGTTTCCACATTAAAATTTTTGAAGCTGCTTAGTTTTCGAATTATGTCGGACAGTTCATTGATTGTTACGTACTTTTGCCAAGAATTCTTGGGTGCAAGCAATGTCTCCTGTGTTAGACAAGTTAGATATTGAATTCTAAGCTATTCGTTTATTTTCTTTGCTTACCTTCTATTATATATGATCATTACAATCATAAAAAGAAGAAATTTTTGCGAGATTTCTCTTATTTTCTATTCTTTCATTTTCGCTCATTATGGTGGATGAGGCAGGGATAACATTTATATATATTAATGTTAAGTGCGGTTTCTTTATGAGATATATTATATAAAGATACATAAGAATAAAAGATAGAAACCAAAGCAGATGCAATGATACATACAATGTATTAAAAAATTGTGCCACTATAAATATACTTTTATAAGTAAAGTTTAATATAGTATAAATACAGTTTAATAAGATAAGTTATTACTTATAGTTAATTATATATATATATATATATATATATATATATATATCAAGAGAGAAATAGAAAGAGAACACATTTAATATAAATTTGTGTACAATTAGCTCAAAATTATAACATTGTAATGTGATGTAATGTATTTCATTTATATGTTAATAGTTGACATTTAATTTTCCTATATTTATTATTTCGCTATCTTGTAAATAAATGGAATCCTAAACACATTGACTCGATTAAAGCAAAAGTAGAACCGGTCTATATAGAAGAGTGAATAGAAGTCTGTACAGAAGAGAAGATACAAGATATTTTTATGTAAAAATAAACTGAATTCGGCATTCAAATGATTCCTATTAATTATTCGCCTAATTTACAATCGGTAAGAGTAGCTGGATATCTTGAACGTCCGACAAATTTTTAAAATAAATTCCATTATAAACTGCATTCGGATGTAGTATAATTTATGCGCAAGGGACATTATGGATACCTATATATGCTGTGATCTGCAAATTTTAAGATTTGAAGCAATTATATTGATGGTACTAAAGCCTTCGGGAAACATCAACGTCTTTCCGGGAGTGCTAAAAAAACTGAAGAAACAGATTAAAAATTGTTTCGTCTAAAGCAACGGCAGTTGTTACTATTGAGTCCATATCCACAGCTTTCGTTCAGACATTACCGAGCCTACGCCAATTCCCTCATAGATGTTTTATATTACATAAACTTATTAAAAAGTGTTTTCTATAAATATTAAAAATGCTAAAAAATATAAACATATAAAAAGATTCAAAATGTTAAAAATGTTAAAAACAATTCAACAGAAAAAGCATATTGTTCAATATTGTTTAATGTTATCATCTGAATCAATGCTGATTACTTGACTCAATACAAAGTTGTCACCTAAGTCCACATAGAATATTTCTTTCATCATAAAAATAACGAAAATAAAGTTCTGTTGGTACACCTTAATTTTGGTCATAAAGATATATTGGGACGAGTTCGATACATCAACATATAATAAGATAACATTTGGAAGGCGACTGGTTAAATTACTTTCGCTAGTTATAGGAGGTAATATTAGCCGACTATATTGAAAAAATTATAAATTGATTGTTTAAAATTAATTCTTAATATTAAAAAAATTAACCTGAGTAACTAATTATAAAGAAAATACAATTTTATAAGACGTTAAAAATTTTATTTAATGCAAATGATTTGATATCCTGAGCTATTTTATTGTTTCAAAAATAATGATATTTATTAGTATAAATATAATAAATAATGTGGGTCTCATTCGATAATTAAAAAATTTCATTTTTACCAAATGAAATCTGATTTTGACAATACATTAAAAATAAATTTTTAAATTAAAATTTTATCTTAAATTACATTAATTTAATTACATTAGATACAATTTAATTTATTAGATTTTAATATTAATCTTATTTCTTTACATTTCAATGGTATAAAAAACATGTTTATCTTATTTATATAGTTATTTTTGCAAATAATTTTTGTGATAAATTATTATTTATGTTCTGTGAACAATGTTTATTTTATATTCAATTTTTATAAGAACTCTTAAAATTATTTGGTAATAAATAAGAATTTATGATATATTCCATTAAATAAAAACATTATCGTTATTTTCAATAATAGAAAAAATAATATATTCATCGGACTATATATGATGATTCTTTTATAGTTGTTCTCTTGGATACAACAACAGAAGGCAGTCTTAAATGGACAAAATTTCCTTTCGGAAAGCAAGCCAATACACCCGGTGTAAGTATTTATATTTTATATTTTAGATAATATTTATAACATTTTAAAAATAATAATTCATATTAACAGGTTTCCATTTTACTTATTTTTTATAAATCAATAATAAATACTTTAATATTCTGATATGCAACATCTTTAATTGCAACTTTTTTTTTTTTTTTATTATTTCTAAGGACAATTTGACCATAATCAGTGAATAATTGGAATTTGAATTATTTTATATATAAAATGATTGTTTAATAGATTATAGAATATTACAGAATTGTTCATAAATTCTATATATTCATTTTGTACTCTGAATTACTAATTGAATTGGAATGTGTTAGTTTCTATATATAGTGTAGTAGAATGTATACAAAAATTATTTAGTAAATTCAGAACAGGATTATTAATTTTTATTTGTAAATAAAAATGAAGTTAGATAATAAATATTAAATATATTAAATTTTGAAAATAATAGAATACCCTTTTTTAAATTAACTAAAAATTTGGATAATATTAATGACTAAATAATAGGTTAACTGTAGTGAAATAATGTTCAATTCATAGTTAATTCTATATTATATATAATGATATTTTTTAGTTTTCATTGTAATTTCATTGTAATTGAAATTATATTAATATTAATTTTTTTGTTTTTGGATATATTGAATAGAAGATAATGTCATAAATTGAGATTTTCAATGTCTTTATAACAAATATTAATATGCATTAAAATTGTGAATTGTCAAATTAATAATTTCATAATTTTTCAATATAATTATAATTGCTCGAAACGTTATAATAGATTGGGAAGTAACAATAGCTTTTTACAAATTCCTTTTTAAATATAAGTATATCGGTTTCAGGTTTAATATAATACATATTTACAGACATGTGTTTTTCACATTTAGTAAAGTTTTTCAACAATTATCGTATAATAAACAATAGATTCCAAATTAATTTTACGACAAGTATTATCATAATTAAGCTATAAATAGTATATTTTTAGTAAATTACTATATTAAACAATAATAATTAAGTATTACATAAGAGAATCACCTTGTAACATTATTCGTAAATAATGACTTTGTATAATATTGAATTCAATTTTTATATTGATAATGGTTAGTATTTTTCCACATTTAGTGGACATATGCTTTTATAAATACACTCATGAATTTATAAAGTTTTATAATTATACTTGATGATAACTTTGCGATATACTAGCGGTAATACTTACGTTTCCTATCATTTTATGATAAACAATTAGTCCAGATCATGAAGCCTGAAATAATATCGCAATAACGTTTCACATGTTTGCTCCTTCTCTCCCCCACCACCACGTTGAATAATAATGAGTGGAAGATCAAGGGTTATAGAAAACAGTGGTAAGGGTACGTCAAAGAATATTGTTGAGATTCTCGTCTGAGGTACAACCTATTTTAATTATGCCATCGAATAACGGTAATAAGTGGATATCTGATAGTACCGGGTAATGAGGAACGGGGTACTGGTAAGACCGGTTAGACAGGCGGTGAGTCGAAAAAAGATACGGCTTATGGGCCTTTATACCTGTGGCACAACTTTGCTGTCTTATAGGGTTTACTCCGTTGGCGGTGCGTATATAATGCTGCGAAAATGAGGTTGGTATTACAAATCGTTTATATACGTTCCCACTCATATGTTTGATTTATAAGTTTTTTGAGCCTGCAGTAAGTGATTTGTTCGCTTGCCTGTGTAAATTAGAAATGCTTATTTGTAAAAGATGCTCGTAAATACTTATACAATATACTATTATATAACATAATATAATATGTATCGTATATATTATTAATTATATTCTCAACTCGTTAGCATAATTAGATTAACAGTCATTATACAAATATATGTTTTTTAATTTGTTATTATACATTTCATACATGGCTTCATATGATCCATCGCGACAATTCCTATATACAGGATTTTCATAATATAAAATTATTTATGGCTATTTATTGATCATAAAATCATTATTTTCCTTTATAAATAATATATAACCTTTGAAATCAAGACAGCAAATTTTATTCGTAACAGGGGTTACATCAATATTTTTTACTATTATAAAATGTTTTGATATATACGAATTATGTTATTTATATAAGGTCTATCAATCTTCTTATCAATCTAAAATTCTTTCACTTGCAATCAGTATTTTCATTAGTTTATTTTAAAGTTTATATTTGACATGCATTTGTATATAGATAAGTTTGCATAGAATTCACATGAATTATAACTTACAAAAATACTCTTATTAATTATACGACAAGTGGTGATTGAATCTATTATAAATTTGATGAAATCTTTTTTATTTATTCTATTATGAATTATCAATATAATATTACTTATACTAATATATCAGGTCAGTGGTACAATAACTAATCTTTTTTGTGTATCTATTGTATTATTTTATTTATTCTTGATATTTTATTATTGCTTTGATTTCAGCGATAGTTTTAATATATAACAAGAAATTTATTTATTGTTGCACTTATATTTGTCATATTTAATACGTTTTTTATTATAATAATTTTCTTTATATTCTTAAATGGTGAATTGTTATAGGTCTAAAGTTCCCAACGTTGAAGCTCTATTTATAGTTATCTTTTTTCTTTTTATTCTTTACATTTAATTCTTGATACAAGCAATGCTATTAGGTGAGTATTTGTTCATATTTTATCCACGTATAATGCATAACTTATTTTAATATAAAATTGAAATCTTATTTTAATTTCTTTATCACATGTCATAATATTTTTATTTAAATTAAATTGTGAAAATTTTTTGTTGAATATTGTTCGAACTTACAGTCACCCGGAGGTCGAGAGACCAAGATGATTGGATTAGACCGTACCCACCATTTTACTGATGGCATAGTGTGAGAATGAATGCGAGGGTAATGCTTCAATTCAGTAATCAACACAATTGGTTTTTGTGACATTTATTTCGTTTTGAGTTATAAACATGTAAATGCAATTCATCTTTGTTAGGGAGAATCGTTGAGACTGTACCACTCCTTGTTGGTAATTGCGTGGAATTAAGCGGACACTGCAAGTCGATGATGGAGGTTATAGATTTCCAGTTCCTCTAGTTGTAGTGTGCTTGCTGGACAGCAATAGAAGACCTCATTATGACGCAAAAGACCACTAAAGGGACTGCATAACTGTCCATCAACTAACGCAGGCTCACTCAGCGTACAAGAAAACACTGTGTTTTCTGCGTTATTTGATGGACAGTTATGCAGTCCCTTTAGTGGTCTTTTGCGCCATAATGAGGTCTGCTATTGGTTCAACCTCATCTTCTACTCATGATGTGTTGGCACAGAGTTGATCCAAGTAGGATTGATCGTACAATCACGTTTAGCTTGTCGTGTGCAGCTTGTCGTGTGTAGCTTGTACGTGGTTTTAGCTTCTGAGGTCTTCTATTTTCGAATTACAGGAATGATTATTGTTGATAAAGTTATAGATGGATCCTTGTTACTCTTTGGTGATTGGAACGTGGCTTAGTGGTGCCGTTGATATGCCTTTGATAATAGGTTGCTTTGATAATTTGATAATAGGGTTTTAAAGCTCTCGCAACTTCTTCGAGTACCACATAGGGAAGCTATGACTGCGTCGTGCCCTTAGGCACAAGCGGCTTTTAATTACAGGTTAGGCTCAACACAGTGTGGAATTAGAGCGGGGATGCAGACTTCTCGCGTCGCGCGGACACTACAAGGCGTAAATCTTTGATACTACTTGTATAGAGCCACGTATGGTGCTTTTGGTACGAGTCTCCTCTTGATGTTAATATATTTGAATTAATACCTTAGCGGATCCATCGCAGTAGGCATTTGCAGAATTACATACAGAAAACGCAATACCTTATCCGTAGTATGAAAGGGAAGATTCGTCTTGCAGGAGGCGTATGGCGAAAGCACAGAGCCTCCTCCGGAGTATGAAGAGGAAGACAGTAGTTAGCACTACTCTTCGTGATTGACTCAACAAAATGCCCTTGTAGCTGGTGTACCTTCGTACGGCTTTAGCCGTTCGCGAGAGCTTTGCGATCGTATAGTGCCTATCGCGGCTGGTGCATTCGCAATGAGTGCCGTACGAGGCTGGCGCGTACGTGCTTTCAATATTTGGTTTCTCCTTCGATAAATTCACAGAAATTCGTTGTCTTACCTAATTCTGCCATGAGTGCGTTGGTGGTGCACTTCTTATTAAATTCACTCTTGTAATGTAATCAGCACTCTAGACTGCTTAACTATGGCGCACTTAAATGGTTATAAATGATTGTGGTTTCACTGTTGGCTTACTAGTTTATTATTGTAGAGTCTGGCAAAATTATGGGCGCATATACTGTAAAATTGACTGACTGGTATAAGGCGGAATTTAGTTGCTGTGCAGAGTAATAATTGAAAACTGATTGATTGAGTAACTTACAGTGAGCCTACAAGCCTGTTGAATACGCGTACGAAACTGATGGCTTTGTCGCTCCGCGTCGGCTCTGATGAGATGTATTGACTATTCCATGGCGGTCCTGCTAAGACAGACCGTGATCCGTGCCATGGCGTCTTCACTGAGAAAATTATACCAAGAAAGCGAGCTTGTCGCGTGTACGCAAGAAAAGGCTTTAATATCATCGAGAAATTTCGGAGTCAATGTTTAAGATTTTGCGAGCTATAACGATTACAAATTTCAGAGAATTAAATTTCTTGTAAAATGCTCCAATCCTGAACAAATATATATATATATATATATGGTATACTTTAAATTTTAATCGACTTATGCATATATAATTGTCATTTAATGATCAATACTACATTAAATGTAACATTATACTATAAAATTATATATAAAATATAAAAGAATAGAAGTATAATAATAATATCTTTTAATATCGTTTAAAGCTTGTTATATGTTTTTATCGATTTTAATATTCGTTAATTAAAAAGCTGTAATAATATAGATAAAGCTCCTAACAATAAACCATGAAGTATA